AATAAAAATGAAATATCAGAAATGAAGAATTCAATAAAACAAATTTAAAAAATGCAGTGGAATGCCTTATAACAATTAGTGAGGCAGAAGAAAGAATATCAAAGTTAGAAGACAAATCTTAGGAAATTTTACAATCAGACCAAAAAAATGAAGAAGAAATTAGAAAAATAAAAAAACAGTTTTGGATATCTATGGGATACTATCCAATGACCCAACATGTGGGTCTTAGATTCCATGAGTGAAGCAGCATACACAGTCCTAAGAAACATGAATCAGTGTGGTTGTAAACATTGTGATCAGAAATAAAGCTCAGAGATATAAAACAGCTGCACTTGTCATCATCAAAGAATGATGTAAAAACAGTAAAATTGCATAAAAGACCTTCAATGTGATGATGAGATACATCAACATCATTCATGTCTACCAGGAATATAACACACATATTGTAAAGCACCATATACAACAGGAAAAATGTACAGAAAGAGTATGCATAGTGATCAAGGTGATGTCACAGACATTGTGGAGAATCATAAGTTGTCATCAAGTAGGATATGAATACATACTCTGAAAAAATAAATGGTCATCAAGGAAATGAAGTAGACTCATTGCAGCATCTCATCCTTAAACATCTAGACTCTGTTGTCAAAAGATTTTAGTTCAGTCCTTTTTTTAATGTAAGTGAGTAAGTCTTTATTTTATTATTTTTTATTTATTTATTTTTTTGACAGGCAGAGTTAGACAGTGAGAGAGAGTGAGACAGAGAGAAAGGTCTTCCTTTTCTGTTGGTTCACCCCCAAAATGGCTGCCATGGCTGGCATGCTGCGCCGATCTGAAGCTAGGAGCCAGGTACTTCCTCCTGGTATCCCATGTAGATGCAGGTCCCAAGGACTTGGGCCATCCTCCACTGCCTTTCCGGGCCACAGCAGAGAGCTGGACTGGAAGAGGAGCAACCGGGACAGAATCCAGGGTGCCGGTGCTGCAGGCAGAGGATTAGCCTAGTGAGCCATAGTGCTGGCTAATACAGTACTTTTTCAGGACATGGTACAATATAACTGGATTCAAAAGATGAAGATATAAAATAATACACAATCTTCAGGCAAAAGTAAAATCATTAAGTTTGTCATATACACTAATTGGGGCTGAACTGTATCCTCCCAAAATTCATATGTTGAAATTCTAATTCCTAGTACATAAGAATGTGGCTGTATTTGGGTATGTCAAAAAATGTAATTAAATCAAATGAGGTCATCAAGGTATGCTCTAATCCAATATAACAGGTGTCCTTATAAAAAGAGATTAGGACACATACATGTACAGTAGGATAAAAATATGAAAACACAGGAAGACAACAGCTGTCTACAGGCCTCAGAATAAATCAGTCCTGCTGACTTCTCATTCACCCTCTGACCTCCAAAATTTTGAGAAAATAAATTTCTGTTGTTTAAGTCACTCAGTCTGTGGAATTGTGTTATGGCAGTCCTAGCAATTTAATACAGTCATCAAAGAGATAATGCAGTCATAGAATAGGCCTACAAGTGCTAGGTGATAGTTCACAGATCTCATGTAGCATCATACATAGATGTTAAGGAGATGGCAAGAAAAATCATAATATATAGTTATCACAGAGATTACCTATAATAGTCCATCACATATTATTACTAAAAAATACACAAACACAATATAGCTTCATCCACTGTCAAGTACTAGATGAGATATAGTTCTATTTCCTACACAGTTGTCAAAAAGATGGCCCAAAATAGTGCTGCATAATTTTGGTTGTGACGGTGATAACACAGCCATGGTGTAGTAAAATGGGAGTATCAGGATATGACACAGAAACAGCGTAGTACTGTGATGATCAATCATTGTGTTAACTTGAGTGGATTAAAGGATACCTAACTAGTTGGAAAAATGTTATTTATGGGTGTGTCTATGAGGATATTAGATGCAGTAAAGATGCAATAACACCATTGTGGGTAGGCACAATCCAACCCCTTGAGGGATGAGATAGAACACAAAAGTGAATGAAAATCAACTTCATTTTTTTCTACTTGAACCAGGACATTGTCTTTTTCAGCCCTTGGTCATAAAAGGTCCTGGTCCAATACGTAGAAGGTGGTGGATTAGGGAATGACATACTGCACTATGCTAGGTATAACTAGTAAAAAAAAAAAAAAAAAAGTAGGAAGTGCACTGTCGGGATAATTGGAGAGAAAATCACACTGAAAGTGCTACAAGAGGAAGAGGAACGCCATGGACAAAACACACGACTGCAGCAGCTGAGAGCTGGAGCAGGTGGCAGCTTGGAGATGCAAGGGAGACTGGACTGCAGCAACCCATGGTGTTATTGCCAGAGGGAGAGCATGGTGAGAGTATGGGCTGGAGCAGTTGCCCATAGACCACTGGAAGTAGAGGGAACACGTTTGTCTCACCCTAACTTCCTCTCAACAGCACTCACTGCCCAGCTGAGAAAGGGCAGGCACCATTTTGGGTTTGGGAAGCAGCTGTGAAGGCCTTAGCATGCCCACACAGCAACTGGCTGGGACCAGATGCCATCTTCTCAGCAGTACTGGCAGCAGTGGAAGGGAGAGAACATTTGGCCAGTGGCTCTTGTGTACACGTGTGTGATCCAGAGATTCTAGTGGATGGAAAAATTCACAGTCTCCACTGACTTTCAGCCTAGCTGGGAGGTGACTGAGCACCCATACAGGAATGTGAGGTGTCCCCAACATCCCAGAATAAAGATGCATAGGGGGAGTTGTCTTGGGGAACATCTGCGTCTCTGTTGACTGGACAGGCTGGCAGGGCAGAGTGAAACCTAAGGACCAAGCAAGTGCGGGAACCTTGTGTGCTGAGACAGTGGGGACTTGGTGGTTACATGAGAGGATGCAGAGATCAGCTGAGTCTCAGAGCAATCACTAGAGGTATTGCCACATGCTCGGAGCTGCTTGTTGCCTGGAACAGGTCTTTACGGTGGGAACCATGCTCACTCTGAGGACTGAGCAGATCATTTCTGTAGATCAGATGGTGGCATGGATGAGTACTGAACACACTGGGGGCTTACACCTGGGCATTTCTCAGCATGGAGCGGAGGATGTGGGGTGGTGATCACACCAACAGAGATGACCATCCCTCACTTCTGTTAACAAGAGGAGATGGAGATCTACCAAGACCAAGTAGGGCGTTACCCTGGGTGCTGCTCCCACCTCGGAGCACTGTGCACAGCTCCCTGGTCACACCCACCACACACTTCTTGGTCATGAAAAAGTGTCTAAAAGTACAGATATTACACTAAGCAACAGAGGCATAGCTAAAAAGTAAAAACCATCAAAGAAGAAAAAAATTTACTCCAAAAATGCCTAGAAAAAAAACACAGAAATTCAAGAAACAAGAATAAGGAAGACACCATGACCCCCACAAAGGAACACAACAATATTATGGTATTAGAATGTGAAGAGATTGCTGAAAACCTGGAAATGGAATTCAAAATATTAATCATAGGAGAACTCAAGAGCAATCACAAGAAAATCAATGAACTAAAGAAAACCATGCATGGCATGAAAGAATATTTTTCCCATGAAATTGTGATTTTAAAGAGAAATCAAAAGGAAATAATTGAAATAGGGTCAGCACCATGACATAGCATGTATAGCTGCCGCTTGCAGTGCCAACAACCTATATGGGCTTTGGTTCGAGTCCTGGCTGCTCCACTTCCAATCCAGCTTTCTGCTATGGCTTGGGAAAGCAGTGGAAGATTGCCCAAGTCCTTGGGCCCCTGAACCACCTTGGGAGACCCAGAGGAAGCTCCTTGATCCTGGATCAGCTCCGGTCATTGTGGCCATTTGGGGAGTGGATGGAAGGCACCCACCCCTGCCTCTGCCTCTCTGTAATTCTGCCTTTCAAATAAATAAACAGATATTTTAAAAGAGAAATAATAGAAATGAAGAATTCAATAGATCAAATAAAAATTCAGTGTTAACAACAGACATGGTGAGGCAGAAGAAAGAAGATGTGTAACATCACAGAGGGTCTTTAAAAAGATGATGCAAGTATAGTTTATGATCACACATATCAGACAATCACATATACCTGGTCATCAAAGAAATAGTAATATAGTATATTAATATAGTATCTTAATGAATATTAATATACTACCTTAGTTGCTAATCAAGAGGTGATATAGACATATTACCTTATGATATTTGCCAAAGAGATAACATAGACATTGGATTGTCATACATAGTTATCAAGGATATAAGTCCTAAATCAAACATGGTTTAAAAGGGATAGGTAAAAATATAGTGTAGCACAATACACGATGTTCAAAGAGACAGTACAAATACAATGCAGAATAATATATTGCTTGCAGATGAGACTGACACAATGCAATGTCACAGATGATCAACAGGGATATGACAGATAAGGTGTAGTATAACATGTGACCTTCATGGAATTGAGTCAGAACTAGTTTAACACAATATATGGTTATCAATAAGGTGACATGGATATAGTGTAGAATATAAAGTAGTAAGCAGAAAAGACAGCATTTATCACAGCCATCACAGATGTTTATCACAGGGATTCAGCAGACATGTGGAGCAGCACATGTGGTAATAAAGGAGATGATGCAGATTTGTACAGCATATCAGTGATCTTCAGTGGATGAGGGCCAGGTAGTCAAGCTCAAACACGATCTCCATGACCAGATGATGGCACCATAGATATTTACCAGAGATATGGTAATGATCACACATATATTTATAGCTGATTACCCAAAAGGTGACTCTGGCACTGTATAACATTCACCTGTGGTTATCAGAATATTACATAGGCATATGATAGTGACATTTGTGGTCACCATGGAGAAGAGGTATATATGAATATAGCTTCCACCAAAGCTGGTCATCAGGGAGATGACCTGTAGTCAAGAACCATACTTGTTTATCAAGCAAAGCATAAACTATCTGTGAATTAAATGCATAAATAAACAGACTGCCTACCATCAACTGATGATGTTGCAAAAAGCTTTCCAGTAGAATCAAAGCAGCTGTCCAGGATTTTTTCATCATGTCCTGTTAAGGTTGCTACACACTTCCCACTTGTAGCGTCCCAGAGCTGTGATTTTAAAAACCAAGCAAAAAAATACCATTATTTTCTATCAAAAGTATGAAGACAAATATCTCATGTACGTTTTCATATGTGCAAGTTTTAAGAAGTGAAGGAACTATTTTTTTAAAGCACAGAAACTTAGAGTTGGGGAAACTTTGTATTTGAAGCTCATTGAGGGCCACCCTTGTAGAAGTTCAGTAAGTGAACAGTAGGACACTGAATAAAAATCATGTGCCTTTTCCAATAAAGTCTCTGAAGTATGTATTGCAACTGAAATTATTTTACCACTTCATAACTCCCTCAAATATAAAATACAAAATCTGAAATTTAGAAGATTACAGGGGCCAGCACTGTGACATAGTAGTTAAACCTCTGCCTGCAGCACTGGCATCCCACAGGGGCATCAGTTTGTGTCCTGGCTGCTCTTATTCCAATCCAGCTCTCTGCTTATGGCAAGGGAGGGCAGTGGAAGATGGCTCCAATGCTTGAGCCCCTGCTCCCAAGTGGGAGATGAGGAGGAGGTTCCTGGCTCCCGGCTTCAGACCAGCCCAGCTCCAGCCATTGCAGCCATCTGGGGAGGGAATCAGCAGATGGAAGACCTCTCTCTGTCTCTCCTTCTCTCTGTAATTCTGCTTCTCAAATAAATAAATAAACCTTTAAAAATAAAAAATTGCAAATAATCACTTACAAAGTACTATCTTCATTTTATACCTCCTTTGAAATTTGTTGATGTTACAGTGAGTATCCGACATAGCAAAAAGTACAGACACAACATACAGCAAATATATTTCTTGAACTCACCATGCAGGTTTTGTCCATAGAGCCAGTTAATATCAGAGAGCTATCCCAATTGAATAAGGCACTGCTAATCTCAGCACAGTGGCCAATTAAGGTATACACTTTTCTGCAAAATTGAAATTATTAAAAGTGAAAAATATTTTTTGATAAATAGATTCCATTAACAAAGGAAAATCCATCTGTGTGAGCCAATCTAAAATTTGTTTTGCCTACAAAACAATAGCTTTGTCGATAAAACAAGAATAGCTCCACAACAGCCCAGCAGGAGGTTACTAATTTCATTTCAACAGAAACGTATCTAAATTTTTAATAATCAAAGATAACATTACTTAAGACAATACTTCAAAAACAAATGGGTAACAAACAGTAAAGGCAGTCTGAATTTCTAGAAGTATTCTACACCAGATAAATGGACCCTTGGCTATTCAGAAACTACTCATCAAATAACTGAAAGTGCTCCTTCTCTCTCATTTCTTGTTCATATATCTTGGACAGTACCCTTCATAATTAGCCCCTCTATCAAAATGCAGACAAATCCAAGAATAGTTTTCCAACACAAATATTCTAATTTAGTTAGCGTCTTAGTAACTAAGACCAAAAAATATTAGGAAGGAAATTGAATTTCTTGGACTAAATTGAATTTGGGAAATTAACTATGAGTTTTATTTATTCATGATATGCATTGCCCACCATGATGACAGACTATTAAAATTTGATTATACAATACATGGAATTAATCACAGCTAGATATCCATGCTGTTGCAAACTTTCTCCCTTTTTATTGCTCTTTGGCATTATTTGCTCAGAATTACAAGAAAGCACATTTTTGTGAGTCAAAAATATCATTAAAGACCAAATTAATTTACTTTTTTTCAATTTGTCCTATTGCTATGGAGTCTGACACACAGTTAATAGGACAGAGTGCCTCCTTAACCCTCCAGTTCCAGGATTTTAAAGCTAAGAGTGGTGTATTACTTTCCAGTGTCGGTATCCCACACTGCCACCGTGTGATCAAGAGACCCCGTGACGATTCTGTTTCCTGAAGTGTTAAATGATAAGGAGATGATTTCAGCAGAATGCCCCTACAAAAAAGGCAGACACTGTCACACAGACCTGTAGAGGGAACATTTTCTACAAGTACATAATACCATAGCTAAAAGGAATTGAGAGAGAGGCCAACCTGTAGGGGAAGAGTGGAGAGGACTGCAAATGGGCAAAGGGGAGAGAGAGAGAGACAGAGACAGAGAGAGACAGAGAGAGAGAATGCTTGCAACAGCTCCAGGATCTCCCACCTGGGGGTAGGGACTCAATACTTGAGCCATCCTGCTGTGTGCTGGGGTATACAATAGAAGGAACCTGGAATCAGGAACCAAGACTCAAATCTAGGCACTCTGATGGGGGATGCAAATCTCTCTCTCTGCCTTTCAAATACATTAAACAAGTGAATAAAATTTTTTCAAAGGAAAATGTTCTAGAACTACATTTGGGGATGGCTGTTCAGTTCTCTAAGTTTACTAAAAATAATTGCATTAATTAAAGCATGTTTATTTTAACTCATAACTAATAAAGCTCTTTTCTAAAAAAAAAAAAAAAGAAGAAGAAGAAGAAGAAGAAGAAAGGAAGAGGCTATATTTTAGAAAAGTAGAGGGCTTCTTTCACAAAGGGCCATGTAGTTTATGGGATAAGAAGAGACAGTGGGCAACAAATGTGTATGAAATAAAGTTAACAGCTTTGAAAATGGAAATTTTTAAGGAAATTTGTCATGGCACAGATTAATAAACACCTGGAGTTTGCCTGACTTGTGTGGTTATGGTCTGGTGCTAAGGAATCAAAACATAGGAGAGAATGCCAGGAAACCCTTCCCTGTAGCAGATTCTGTGATTCTGATAAGAGGTCCTTTATTAGATAACCACTCTCACTTTCCTAATTATTTTAGTACATTAACATCGTTGTATTTCTAAATAAACAAAGACTTAGAGAAGTCCATTTACAAATTGATTCCTTGGTTGATTGCAAATGAAAAATGTGACATGACAGGGACATCAGCATCTGAACACACGACACAAGGTTGCCTTGCTGCCACCGGCCATGCTCCTAGCAGGGCTCACTGCGTGCAGCCTTCGCAGGCAGTCAGTGAAAGCAGTGGTTGAAAGTGAGAGTGTGGCCACTAATAGGGGCTTTTACCTCCGTATTTGCCTGAAAGCAATGTGGCAGTAAGAAGCGTCCCACGAAATGATGAGAACTGAGATGAGAAACAGTATACTTATATTAATAATGCTAGGTACACACAAAAAAGAAAAGCCATGGTGATAGTTTTTCAATGGTAGGGTTTTTTAAACTCTTTTATTTAGTCCACTTTTTAACTTTCATAGGAAAAGGATTGTTTATTTTCAATTCATTTGTAACTTTGAAAATGCAAGGAATCCAATTTCCCATCCAGTGGTTTCCATTGACTACAACACAGAATCATCCTACTTTTGTTGTGGTGACTCGGGCTGGGGTGGGATGAACTGGGGAGGAGAGAGAGGGGCAGCAATTCCCAGAAAGCAACTGGGCATGCAGTGGTGACTGACAAGAATCTACATTCCCGGCACTCTGTGGGCAGTGCCCCTGGACTTGTTCACTTTTGGTCATTTGCTCTTGTCACTTCGGACTTTTCAGTACAGGGGAGTTCCAAGTCTGGTAGGTGGAGCAGAGTGCCATCATCTCTCCAAGCTATCCTCTGACATGGTTCTGTAGTTTTTGCCTCTTCCAAAAAGTGGCAGCCTCCACTTACTTTACTTTCAGCCAGACAGAGAATGAGGGGTTCTAAGCTGTGCTTGTGTGTGCTTCGCAGATCAAAGTTCATCAAAACAACATGCTCATCTGACTTCCCCAGCACTTCTACCCCAGTCTCCTGAAATAGCCAGCAAACCACCTGGAGTACTCTTCAACTATAGTTTGGAAGCCAGTTGTTCAAAAATGTCTACTTTAGAACTCATTTAATGAAAATTGCAAAAAAAAAAAAAAAACCCACACAAATGAAAGGTTTGCTGACGTACTGTTAAAGTGAACACCTCCTCTCCATTCTGAACATCCCACAATTTGACTGTTGTGTCCATACTTCCCGTGGCCACCAATGTGCTTTGTGGGTTAAATGACAAACACACCTAAATTACAAGAGATGAAAGATGTTTTAGGAAGACAGACCTTCAAATTGTTCATTATATGTGGGGAAGCTTAAAGATGCAATTACCTTAGCAAATTATACTGGATTCCTTGTACAAATAAATACTCAACCAAACACCAGATATGAACAACTCACTGTCCTCAGGTTAAATCCTGAAGCAGTCTCTTCTGCCCATTCTCTCACATCACCCAGCTCAGCCTCAGGGGAATATGGGTTTTCTTGCCATTCCCAGACCACAGAAAAACAAGAATAAAAAAAATAGCAAAATAGTTCTCCTTTGAAATTCAGGATATCTGGCTCTCATCTTTGCTGCTGCTGCCTTTACGGTTCTTCCAGCCATACCCCCTCACTCATCCAGGACTAAGAAACTAGCTCACTATGTCAGTTCCATGTCGTAAATGGCCTAAAGTGGTATCACTGTAAATCACCCAGTCCCCAAATGGGGAATAATCTCCTTTTCCTTGTGCCTCATACTTGGTAACAAGTCCTAATCTGTTCACTCCCATAACATCTCTAGCATTCTCCTCATCTGCCTTACCACGGGCCTTCATCATCTATCATTTGAAAAACATCAAGATTTCATACTGGCCTGTATCTCTGATCTTACCTACTTCCCATTTCTCCTTCACACTCCCAAAATAAAAACCCTGCCCCAACAACAAAGTTAGCAATACCACTCACTGCTGAAAATCTCAACAGTGTGGCATTGCCTATATGAAATAAAAAGTCTTTAACATGGCATAGCACCCTCTAAACATCGAAATATGGCCCTGCCTAACTCTCCTGCTTCAATCACTCACATAGTATCATCTGATGCTCAGTGGGTTACAGGTGTGCCAAGGCATTGATGCCTTTACCCCAAGCAGCTGGTCAGCACCAGGGATCCTTGCCTGCCCTTGCCTACCAGACAGCTCACCCAGACTCTGCTCATCCACGTTGGCAAATTCGGTGCCATCACAGTAGAAGGTAAGTTAGTTCTGCTCTGATTGTGCAAGGACTCCTCAGTTCTCAAGCGGGTGCTGCAGCTGCACCTCTTCTTGAACACTTGCCAGAGCGAGGGCTTCCCAACAGTGAAAGCTCTTTAGGGTATCATACTGTTTTTGATAATTTGAGTTTGCATAATATCCAGAAATAATCAGCCTAAATATTTCACAATATAAAAAATTCTATTTTAATAACTTTATTTTCACTTACGGAGTCAGTGCTTTCATTAAAAAAAATGAAAAAAATGTCAGGTTGAATACTATACTCATATATTTATCACATCAATTTTCTTAAGTCAAAGCATGGTAGCTGCAAGCTATGAAAAATCAAGTGGT